TGGAAAACGCTGGGTTGGATTAACTGCTGGGCCTTGTGTATTTTGGTGGGCAGGCCTGTCACTAAAACAGACAACAGCCAAGAGGAAGGATGGGCATTTGGATAAGGCAGTGGGCTGGGACTCAGGAGAGCTGGGGGTCAATGGTGAGCTCTGCCACAGACTCCCTGGGTGAAGTGTTCAGGGCGGGAGTTGAAGGGAGCAGAGTTAGGCCCATCCGAAGTGCTTTTGAAAATCCCGCTCAGCCCTCTCTCTGCTTCAGTTTCCCCATCTGTAAAATGGGGATAATCCTGCCTTGCTGGCTGATCTATTCAGCCTGTACAGTCTTTGAGGCTGGGATTTTCTCTCACTATGTGCCTGTCCAGCACCTAGCACAACGGGCCCCGATCTCAGGCAGCTACTGGAATACAAATCATTCGTAACAGAGATGGTTGTGGCCCAGCTTTAGAGGCAAGTCCCAATGCTTTGCCTCTCTTCCTTGTGTGGCCTAAGAAGAAAAGCCTTCATTACTTGCATAACCCATGAAATTCGTGCCGCTGCTGCGGCCCCTTCCCGGCCACCCCAGGAAGCTGACACTTGCATCAGGCTGTTTACTTATCTTGCCTCTACTTTCCATTTGAGACATCTGCTTCTCAACAGGCAGCCCAGGGAAGCGGGTGGCTGTTATTTCCGGGACGAGTTCCCGGAGCTGAATGCTCCCTTCCCGTCCTGTAGCCCAGCTGTGTTCCTTGATGCTACACACACCTGATTTATCAGGCCACAGCTGCTCTTGGTGGGCAGCCTTGACAAGCTGCAGAAAATGTTCCTTTTTCTGCCTCTTTCCCTGCGTCGTCCTGTCTGTATCCTAGGGTAGTGCTGATCTTACTAACTGGTCCATTCTAATGCTGCACAGAGAGAGTGCTTAGCATCTAAATGCAACATATGACTTCATGGTACCGTGGATCTGATCCTGGATATCAATACTGTCCAGATTCTGTGGGGATAGGAAAAGGCATATTACTTCAGCACCGCCAAAACCTAGGAGCAACCCTTCTGAGGAGTAGTGTCCGAGCTGGATGATAAAGCTTGTTCCGCGCCCACCTGTTTCTGGATCAAGCTAGTCAGCCCTGTATTTTGATACACTTAAAAACAGTAAAAAGAAAGACACCATCCTACTCCCTACTGATAACTTCCTAGATACCATGGTGATAGACGCAATATGAACACCATGGGCAGAAACTAACAAGTGTGCTCACAGGGTCGCACCCTAGACAAACATGGTTCCTGGCACATCATTTAGCAAGGAGGTGGCTAACTCTGTCCATTTGATATTTTGTGGTGTACCTGTGGGTGGAAACAGAAATCTGTCTTTTCCAAGTTGCTTTTCACAGAAAAAGGAGTCTGTTTTTATGACAGTTCCTTCCTTTTGTGAGGCTTTTCCTGAGCAGACATGGAGTTGAATAAAAAACCCAGATCCAATCTTTGGGGGTATTGGACATGCAAACCTGGATCGGACTTTTGCAAGTGGCCCCGTTGTCTTTAACATGGATTGAATCAAAACCATGACTGAGACCCATCTAGATTTTGGGGTGTTTTGAGTCCAGATCCAAATGGTGCAGCTTGAGATCACGTTTGTTCTTGGACACAGAGTTTTCTAACAAGAAGCATTTTCTAAATATCTGTAATGAACGTCGGGGGAATAAAAAGCACAAGCTCTGTATCTGCTACTGCCCTGTTTGTCGACCAAGCAGTACTGCAAAGCTTCCTGGGATACCCTGACTCTAAGCATGGAGCCAAATTCTACTCTATAGCCAGATTCTCTCTGTCTTAGCCACTTTGTGCCCCTGGAATCTGGTCTGACCGAGCCACCTGAGAATTCCTTTGCAAAGGGGAGCTCTCAGGTAGCTTCTATCCCAACTGCCCCCCCTCCTTACGCCCAAGTGCAGGGGGTATGTTGGGGCTGGGATGCGCCTGCTTTTGCCAATTCATGATTGGTGTTTGGTCTTATGAGATCGTAGCCAGTTGACAAAGTTAGAGCAGACCCAAAGTTGCTCTTATTTATGCAAATGGACCCGGGCCAGTGCAGATGCACCATGAGAATCTGGGAGGTGCAACCTGATCCCTGAAGAGAGAATGTGGGACTCTGTTAAGTAGTTTTCTGGCAAAGAGCCGTTCAGCGAGGGTCCAGCATATTGCTGGGGGATTGTGAAGAAGAGAACAGCAAGCTGTAACCCAAGGAGTGCATGTGGAATGCCGGTTGTCCCTAGAATTTAACTTCAGCCCCGGGCTGGGAGACAGATCGTCTCCCAGCACGCGCACACACAAACTCAGCTCAGGCGCCCCGTTAAGCCACTCGCCACGGCTGAGTCATTTACATCTCTGCAGCCAAGTGTCTTCTTGCCGGATTCAGATGAACAAAGAGAAAAAGGCCTCGTGGAGAAATAAAAGACTCTCCGATCACGCAGATGAAAGCTGCTTTGCACAAGCAGTTACGTGCAACATAGTCCAGCCTCGCTCCTTTGATAGTGAAGCTGCTCATTAAAAGGAGACGTGTCAAAGTGCACAACAACAACAACACGGAGAGCCGGACAGAGGAGCCATTAAAACCCAAAGGAATGCTGACCTCTCCGCTTTGTTCTAATGGAACACCTCAGAAGGAAAGAACAACTTGTGCGAGGCCTGCAGGATACACGAGGCACCAGCCCTTTCTTCCTTTAATTAATATTTGACTCACTTCCCATCCTTTATGGCTTGCCATCAACCACTCATCACCAAAGTTGTCAATACAGATCGACTGAGTCATACAATTTAGGGATAAAAAAGACCTCTGAGCTCATCTCTTTGAGAAGGGACTGAGAGGAGAGGTTCGAGAGTATTAACAGCGCCGAACGCCTCTGTCTGCCGGGGCTTTTCAGCTTAATAAGAACACCAAGTGAATGACCCTCCTCCTGCAGAGCAGGCCTGCCTCTGGTGGGTTAAGCCAGTGAGCGGCTCTGCACTGCCCTGGCTCACGTACTGAATGGAAACAGCTACTTTCTAGGTGTGAAAAAGTGATTCCAGTACATGAAAGTTCAATACAGCACAAAGGACAAGGATGGATTTATTGCAAAACCTGTCTGGGGCTTTTCATCACTGATGTACCCTTGTGCCACATACACTGCCAGGCCAACACGGGAGCCTGAGCCCAGTGCAGGGTGGGCTGGACGCTGGGTACTTCCCTATGAGGGCTAATAGCTAGAATAGTCTAGGCAGGCCTCCCTGAAGACTGGAGGATCTACTCAGCAGCAGGTCCTCAGGCCCTGCCCAGCCACCAGCCCTTCACCTGCTTTTCAGGAAGCAGATATGGAGCAGGGCTGTCGCACACAGGATCCCCGCATCCAGCCCGATTGCCCAGCTGAACCTCTCCTTTAGGAGCGGCCGCGCCACCACGGAGGGGCCTGGATTTGCTCCCAGTAACACAGAGTGTCCCCACCGAGATGGCACGATCCGTGTCCGGGGCTCCAGTTCTTTCACTGCCGGCGCAGGACACAACGCAGCAAGAGACGCCAAACGTGCGGGTCGCCCTGCTCCCTTTTGCAGTCCGATGGCAAAATCTGCTTGGGACTCTGGGAAGGGCTGCTCCAGGAGGAGGGGACGGGAGAAGTGGGGCTATGTCCCCGGAGGCTGCTCAGGAGACATCTACAGTTCAAAAAACCACCCCACAGCAGCGAGTCTCAGAGCCCGGGTCGACTGATTGAGACTCGCACTGTGGGGCTAACCGGAGCAGAAAACACGTCCCTGTGCAAGCTGGAGTCTGGGCTCCGAGACCCTCTCCCATCACCAGTTTTCAGCGCCCGGGCTCCAGCCCGAGTGGGAGGCCTTCATTGCTCTTTTTAGCCCCACAGCGCGAGCCCGAGTCAGTTGACCCGGGCTCTGAGACTCGCTGCCGTGGGTTGTTTTCTTTTTTGGCTGGGCAGGCGTACCCTGAGCCCAGCGGGTTAGCCCAGGCCCAGCTGCCTGTCGCTCCTGAGTTCTAGCCCCATCTCCAGCACTTCCCTGACTTAGCACTGCGCGTTTACAGAGCGCCTGACAGCTATTACTGAGGCAGACCTCCTACCAGACCCTGCTCCCCAGCCCTTACAGCCACATCACCTCACTGATGCCCAGCCCCCCTTGGCAGGGCAGAGTGCTGGCATTATCTTACACAGGGACCCCCACCCCGGGTTTGCATGAGTGGCTGCTGCTGGGGAGAGCAGCTCCCCCTTCCCAAGCCACGATCCCTGATGCTGCAGAACATCATGGGAAGAGGCCACCAATGAACTGAGGTTCCCCACCACGCGCACACACAAAACGGTGAGCAAATCTTTCATATTTTCACCCCTCTTCTGCATCAAAGGCGGGGGCAGGATTTCACCATTATACCTCACTACATTCCCCCCCCAAAAGAAGCACCATTATACCTCACTACATTCCCCCCCCCAAAAGAAGAAGGGAGGGCTTTGTACCCTCTCCACTAGCACTTTAGTAAAGCGTTTGCTCTTTTCAGCAGCCCAGACAAATGTCTCTGTTGAGTAGAAAGTGCACACCCTCTTTGGTGTCCGATTAGACGTAGGGAGGGGAAAAATGCAGGTAGTTTCCTGGCTTCAGTTATGAGAATGGTTTGTCTGAAATGTAGGCTAGGGGATTTGTGGGTTGGTTTATGAACCACCCGAAGTCATGGTTCTCAACTTGGGGCTCATGCACGGGCTGGGACCACCTTGCACTTCCCTTATTGCTAAATGGGAGAGGGAAGTCGTGGGTGTGCGCGTCCCAGTATGGTATAGATTGAGAACAACTGCTCTAGTCCCCAGTGTAAGCATCCAACCAGGGTGAAAAGGCAAAGATCTTAGGTGCCAACATGGAGGGTCCAAGATGGGGCGTAGGAATAGCCAATAGTTACTGGACTGTGGTGCAGTTATAGGATGTTAAGAGCAGAGGGAAGAGTAGTAACATAAATGGAAACATGGAGAATGGTATTGAGTTTTAGAGGGTAGGAAGCAGGCTACCTTCTGAGCATCACTGGGTGGGTCACTCCTGGGGGAGCTCATTTCGGGTTTTGGTTCACCCTTCTTCTTTTCCTCGTCTTCCTCAGACGAAACTCCTTTGTCGCTGATGTTGCTGGCTAACTCTTCCAGCTTCCTCTTCAATTCCTCCTCTTCCACATCTGCATCGGTGTGGGACTCAGGGGCCGGAGACTAGAGGTAGAAAAGCAAGCAATTCTCAGTCTGTTGGTGTTCACGCAATTTGAATGTTGTTGGTATTTTAAGACATCCCGGGACATGTCTATGCTAGCAAAAGGATAAAAGAGAGGGTTTATTCAGTCATTTATTTGCTCAAATGTAATGCAGTGCTCTTGGGTGGATTGTCGGCAGCAGAATTCAAACCCAGGACCTCTGGTTCTAAAAAAATACACCTCTACTGAGATGGCTGTACAGACTCATAAATATTGATGTGATCCAACCACTAGCGCGGGAGAGAGAGCCACACTCCATGGAGGTGGGTTATCTAATCACCACTTAGCATCTACCACTCATCTTCTCAAACAACTAGACCCTGGAGTCTTCCAGCCCACGGACCTCCGTGAGATTCCACGGGTAGTATGACTCCATGTCAGATTTCACGTGCAGTCGGCATTTCACGTGCAATATGGAGTGGGGGGAGGGATAGCTCAGTGGTTTGAGCATTGGCCTGCTAAACCCAGGGTTGTGAGTTCAATTCTTGAGGGTGCCATTTAGGGAATTGGGATAAAAACCTGTCTGGGGATTGATCCTGCTTTGAGCAGGGGGTTGGACTAGATGATCTTCTGAGGTCCCTTCCAACCCTGATGACTCAGGGGCCAACTATCTTCATGCAGTTTAAGGCCATCTCTCACATAACAAATACAAGCTGGAGCACAGAAGCGGCAGGTTGTATCCTACAATAAGTTAGCCTGGATTCTCAGATCAAGCTAAGAAGCACACAGTGCTATCAGATCCTGAGCTGGACAGGCACCAGCCTAGTCACTTAGAGCAGCCTGTCCTAAAGAACTGACCTCTGAATAAATAGGGCTGGTTGAAAATTTGCCATCAAAACTTTTGACAGAAAATGGAGTTTTTAACTAAACAACATTTTCTTTGCAAAAAAGTCTCTGCTTCCTGCAGAAGATTTTGATTTTTTTGTAAAAAAAACTGAAATATTTTGGCTGAAACCCAAATGCTGAAATACGATGCTGTCACTAGATGCAGCATGGCCACAGACTCCCATGATGCACTTCTTCCCTTCTGCAAAAGGGAAGAGTGTGGTGCATCATGGGAGATTAGTCTGACCGGGGAGCCTGGCCTATCGAGGAGAATAGGAGCATGAGGAACACAAACTACAACTCCCATGAGGCACTCTGGCAGCATTTCCAACCAAATCAAAATATTTCAGTTTTTGACCAAAATATTTTGGTATTCAAATTTGTGCTGGAAAAAAAAAAATCAAAATTTTCAACCAAGGAAAAACAAAAATCAAAAGACCAACCCAGCAGAGCTAGTTGAAAAATGGTAAGTAATTTTCTTTGCTCTAGACAGGCAGTGCATTTAAATCTTGGATCCTAACACCCCTAAATTTTGATGATGTTTGGATCTGGAGCAAGCACCAAACTTTTCAGCTTGAACCCATCTTTAATTTTAACCAGGCAGAAATTACCCTCCATTCAAGCCAGACCTGCATGAATCTTCAAAATTGGTTTTGTCCCTTCTACTGAGCTATCAAATGTCATATCAATTAACTGCACGATCCCACGTAAAGGAAGCAAAGTGCATAAATATTCTACAACTGGAAACTTAAATTAGCACTAAGTGACCTACCGATATACCAGCTGATTCAATGTCACAAGAGAATTTAAAATTAAATTGATCTTCCTTGATGGCCATCGAACAAGGGCAATAACATGGAAAAGACAAATGTCCTTCTCAATTAGAATCTGCTACTCACAACACACCGATTATTACATTTAATGTAGCTATTGATTCCTGTGTCGTAACCCCAGAGTTCTCATCCATTCTGGAAGCATTTACAAACATATAGGAACATTCCTTAGATCAGTATAAAAAAAAGTATTGTTCGTGCAGAGAAAGGACTGAAGTGGAGCTCATTCGAGCACCTGTCAGAACACCACGCGCACGTTTGATAACCATTCATTTTCCATTACATTCAGTTTTCCGATGAGGCTCACAAGCTGAAAAATGACAAGGGTCTAAAAGGTTAAAATAAATGGTTAAAAAGAGGAATCATCTGCCATTTGAAAACCATATTAGCCTTCGACGCAGCTCCAGGACCTGTCTATCAATGGAAAGATGCACACTCACCAGCCAATGCTGTGCCCTCCTGGGCAGAAAGTTCTGTTCCTCTTTCAGGAAGCTGCAGAGAGACTGAAGCTTGTGGCAGGTGCTGGTGTACATTTGGGAAGGGACAGAACTAAGCGCCTTGGGGAGTTGGGTTATATGTTAGTCTGTCTATTGGTGCAATCAACAGCCCAGGATTTAAGCAAACGACTTCATCCCTGCCCTTTTAGCCACCACTTCTGTGGCATGCAGCACCCTGACTTACTAGGTGTGTCTACACTGCAGTCGGGAGATGTGAGAGCAGAATAGCAGGAGATGGCTTTAATCAAGCTAGAATGGGCGCAGCAGAATGGTTGGTGGCACAGCTGCCTCCCTACAAGCCTGCCTGGAACCTGGGTATATGTACCCAGGCTGTAAGCAATGTAACACTCCTGATTGCAGTGCAGACATACTTGCTGATGCAGCCGGCAGCACTATACCTTCTGTCAACAGAAGCACCTCTCCTCCCCAAGTGCTGAGTTGTACAGCAGATTTCTTGTCTACTGCCTATGTAACTGGGAGCCACGTCTCCTGACGATACAACACAAGCTGCTTCAAAGGCGTCTGAGGAGACTGCGAAAGGAAATGCTTTCGCCTGTGGTGCATAGCCCCCCAACTCGGCACTGTTACCTCTTCTGAGTGCACCAGGATTCTTTCCTCCAGACGGTTCAGCATGCGTTCAATAGCTGACATGCGTTTGTTGAGTTCAAATATCTACAGGAGAGGAGAGAGAAAGGAAGACAATATAGAACAGGCCCCACCACCAGCACCAGAATACAGTCCAGGGCAGATCTAATCAACAGAATGGAGAATATGGCAGAGAACACAACCCACCACCGGTGCCCTTGGCTAAGCATGAAATGCAGAACAGATCACTAAGAGAAAGACAATGGTTGCGCTTTTCAAAAGGGCCTAAGGGAATCCAGAGTAGAGCTGGCCAAATTTTTCAGCTAAAATTTTTTTGGGGATGAAAAATGCAGATTCGGGTTGACTGAAACATTTCACAAATTCATGTCAATTTCATCATCTTGTTTCAGTCAACCAGAAAAAAATATTTTAGCAAAAATTGAAACGTTTTGTTTTGACATGCTCGGTGTGATTTTTCAGTTTGAAATGTCTTCCAGTTCTAAATTTCCATTTTATCTAAACGATTTAAACTGTTAAAAAAACAACACCCCACTTCAAATCAACCCCGAACTTTTCATTTTGGGTTGAACTCAACGTTTTGTTCATCCTGAAATGAATTCTTCTTTCAGCTTCTCATTTTGACATATTTTTTTTTTAAAAGTTGTTTTCGGGTTGGCCTAAAACCATTGTCTTCCCCCTGAGTTTCCAGAAAATTGTCAGTGAACCAAAACACCAGTTATTGGCATAGATCTATCTACTCAAGAGTACAAGTCAAGGGGCTTAGTGTAGAATGAGGTAGGAAAAATAATATGCCTTTCAAATGCCCTTGGATTTGTTCCACCTGAACCTTCATGGCAAACTTGGACTGGAAATGCCAATATCAGAGAGAGGATAGGGAGGGAGGGCAGTTTGCCTGATGCAGGGTTTGCCTATTGGTCAGTCAGGACATTGGGCACTCCATTGTGTTGCCAGTGTTCCCTGAGCCTTTCCATTGTTATTGCCCCTGGGCCAGTGAACGGTGTCAGAAAGAAAATCATTTCATGTTCATTAACACACTGAGTCAGATTAAAGTTTGGCCAAGGTTCCACTTCCCATTGATAAACCTTTCAGCCGGCTAGCACCACATCAGCCTCTCTCTAATACACCAATGGAAATGCTTGAAAGAAGGTAACTATTTGCCATGACACTTTTTGAATGGAAAACCACACAAAGAAGTGTTTCCTTTGAAATTTTCTGATTTTTCAATTAAATGAAAAAATGTTCATTTTTGGTTTTCAAAACCCAAACGTTTTTCAGTTTTATTTATTTATTTTTGGCTGGTCTGTCCAGTGGAGAAGAGAAGACAGAAAACTCAAAAATTGAAAATCAAAGACAAATACTTTTTTGATTTTCAAGGGCCAAAATGAAAAAGTTCATTTAATACAAAAAAAAAAAAAGGAACATTTCAAAGGAAACCAATGCTTTCATTAAATAATTACATTTCCTTCTAAAAGCCTTTTTTTTAGGTAGGAAAAAAAATGATGAAAACGTGTTCTAAATGGAAATGACAATCTTCTCCACGTCATAAGCTGTTCTCATCAGATGCATCCCATTAAAAGATGAATGGCCAGTACATGAAACAAGAAAGAGAAATGTGTGTGTGTTTTTAACACTTCCTTCTTTCTTTTCATGTCGCTTTTGTATTTGTTAATAGATGATTAATTAGATCCTCACAAGAACTTGGAGTGGCTGCGTCTATTTAAAAGAATAAAGTAAGCTCAGTAGATGAATGTAAAAAAATGGGTACTTCAGAGAGAGTACTGTAATTATCATCCTTAATAGAAAGCACCTTTAGTAGCATTAAACCCACAGAGAGGCAGTAATCCAATCATTTCTAAAGTGAAGTCTCAGTAAACACTGTTGGGTCTGATGTGACCAGCGCTTACATCACACCAGGGGCAATAAGCAGGCTTGCAGCTGTGTCACTAATAAATTAATCCATTAAAAGAGATGGATATAAGAGACGTACCTGATAGGTGATAGGTAAAAGATAGCTTAAGGTTTAAAGCTGAAATGCAAGAAACCTACAGGCTAAAATATTTAGCTTAGCCAAATTAGGCTTTAGGAGAAATTTGCTATATTATAAAGATAAGTTAGCGTAAGTAAATTAATAGTAAACCTGCTAAGCTTGTGTCAGTGTTTGTGATATGCCGATGTTTTGAAAATAACTGCTGAGTTTCGATAATAATGTCAGTGAGAGCTCAGTAGACGTCACAAGACGACTCTTAGTAGCTGGGATGAAATGTTAAAAACGTCCCGAAGGTAACTTGCCTGTGACTATTGTGATGAAGTGACGTCAAGGGGAACTAACAAGCTAGCCTTTTCGAAATGGGGCACCCCAAAAGTACTGGGGTGTGGAAGTTCAAATAAAGAAACAGGGATAAAACTTTCATAAACGCATGCGAATGTCAATGGGCGTCATTGTAAAAGCTGTATCCTGGCCTGCCTGCCTTGGGAGATACCATGATGGTGACCACTGGTGAGGAAGATGATAGGGGTGGTGAGGATGATGACTAAATCTTGTTTTTTCCGCAAAGGATGGTATGTGTCGGGCACATGCTAGACGTTCCATATTGTACTCTCTCTCCTTTACCAGACTCCAGTGTGTGTATTGTTGTTTGGTTGGTTAAGAATAGCAATAATTGAAGGAAGAGTACCCGTTAATCTCTGTTACGCGACATTGGGTTCCCCTTCCATTGATAACCTCTGTACTGTAGTTGATCTGGCGGCTGAACTCTCACAGGTTAGAGTAGGTGTAAGCCCTCACCTTGGGGTGGGTAATTAAAGTAACTCATCACTCTACATAAGGCTACAGCTTGACCATCCGCTTTGAGAAGGGAGTCCAGAAGAGAGGGCAAAGCCGCACGCCCTGATGTTAACAATCCAAGTGGTAGTGCTGCCTTGATGAGGCAATACATTGGGTTAGAAAGGTCAGATCACAAAGAACCCATATATAAATCTATAATGCCTGTGGCAGGGCGACGACTCACCGCTGCGGCGCCTCCTGCTGGCCACCCTGGGAATTAGCTCTTCCAGCTCAGAGCGCCCTGTGTCTCACCTGCCACTGGCCCCTGTGTCCCTCCCGGACCCTGGTGCCTCTTTGTCTTGGGGTGCTGCCCCCTGGCAGTGTCCCCACACTTTGAGTCTCCCCTCCCAGGGGAACCCCCAACCCTCTATCCCCACCTCGCTTCAGTGGCTACTGCCAGTCACCATCTAGCCCCCGCTCACTGAGGCGGACTGCAATCTGTCAACCACTCATCACTGGCGAGGGGGGTTTGGACCTGCTGCCTTTGCCTGCCCTGGGCTGCACCTCTGCAACGCCAATACCATTCCCGGCCTTTAGCAAGGCCCGCAGCCTGGGGGTTTTCCAGGCTGGAGCTCCCCAGCTCCTCTAGCCTCCCCCCAGCCCTGCTCCACCCTAGGTACCCTGCTCAGCTCCCAGGCAGCCAGGCCCTTCTCTCTCTCAACAGCTAGAGAGAGATTCTGTTTTCCTGGCTAGCAGCCCTTTTATAGGGCCTGCTATGGCCCGATGGGGCGTGGCCTCAGCTGTGGCTGGTTCCCCAATCAACCTAGGCTTTTTCTCAGCCGCAGCCCTCTCCCAGGGCTGCTTTTAACCCCTTTTCTGCAGGAAGTGGGGCAGCCGCCCCACTACAAGGTCAATGAAGGGCTCCTTGGGGATACCAGAGGCTATTTGTCCAAGCTCTGAAAGTTTTAGTACAAGCTAGCCACAACACGAAGTCAGACTGGGCTAACCGCTAGGTCCGCACTGATGCACTCTCTTCCTGAGAACCAAACCCTCCCAAGGGCCCAGATTGTACCCACGGTTACAGCCACCCCACCCCACGTAGGGCAGGAGGTTACAGGAGTGTAAGAGAGCACATTTCAGCCCCAAGCGCTCCAGTGGGTCTACTGAGCGATTTCAGCGGTAATACGGTTACACAGAGCCACGCTGTAAAACTGCAAAGACTCAGGCAGGCAAGTTGAAGGTACAATCAGATTAGGCCTTAGGCTCTGCCCAATTTATTAGAACCTACTATATGCAGCGCCAGTTAGAATCAGGCTGGCGCGTCCTCCATAAATCTGCATTAGGAGCTGTAATGTTGCTGTATTGGCTGCGTGACGAGGGCTGGCAGACAAGTGCTCAGCACAAAAGTTTTTTTTAAAACACAAACTAGACAGTAGAAGACAGCTCCTCAGCTGGTGACTTCAACGGAGCTAGACAGCTTACACCAGCCGCCAAAACCTCAATTATCCTGTGAAGATTCAGGAGACATCTGAAATCTTCCAGAAACTGGGGGTTTGGTTAATTCAGAGACCCCTAAGTTTCTTGTTTGCTTTGCTTTCAGTTGGCATTTGCACATGGTATCAACTCTCTTCCCTGTATTAGGAACAGGCAACAAGGGTATTCTACATACAAGTATCCCAGAAGACTGGTTCATCCATTATGCATTCTGTTCACTTCGGACCTGATCCAATACCCACTGATTTCCTGGGGGTTTGGACCAGCCCTAAGTTGTGCCAACATACGAAGGATATGAAGAAAGACATTTGAGGAGAAAACCAGGAACACATAACTTCATTGAAACACATGGGACTAGGAGAACTTTTGGAGGGAAACTATGGAGAAGCGGTAAATATTCTGTTATAAAAGTAAATTACGATGGTGGTTTCTATTCTTCTTGAAGCTAGTGGGAGTGTTAGCACCAATTTCAACGGGGGAAGGACTGGGCCCAAAACAGGGACAACTATGTTTATCCATGATTCCACTGTTGCCAACTCTCATAATCTTTTCACAAGTCTCATGATTGCTAATGTTTTTCCTTAAAGCCCCAGCTCCTGGATTCTGGTGATTATGTGAGAATCTCTATTTTAAATTTTTTTTAAAGTAAGCGTTTAGTCCTCCGGGATGCAGAAAAAGCCTGAAAAAGAGTTCCTGCCCTTAAAGACTCAAAAAACCGGAGGACTAGTAGGAATCCTCCACCCCAACTTTTATTAAGAATCTCATGATTTTTAAGCCATTGTCATGATTTTCGGGCCCTGACTTATGACTACAATAAGGCACAGTTCTGTTGTGGTTTATTTTACCAGTGAGGGCGATTGACCTCTGGAACAAACCACCCAAAGAAAATTGTGGATTCTCCATCTCTTGAAGATCTCAGATTAAGACTGGATGCCGTTCAAGAAACAATGCTTTAGTCAGAGACAAGTTATGAGGTTCAATACAGGGGTAAGTAACTGGTTACATTCTTGGGCCTGTGCTATAAAGGAGGTGAGGTGGTTCCTTCTAGCCTTGAACTCACTGATTTTATGATTTTTTTGAACACTTGGGGCTGGCAATACTTTATGATGGTGTTTCATAGAATCATAGAACTGGAAGGGCCCTCGAGAGGTCATCTAGTCCAGTCCCCTGCACTCATGGTAGGACTAAGTAGGATCAACTTTGTAGGATCAACCCAATTATCTGCAAAGGAGTCATCATTACTGTGGGCTCAGGGTTGCCAGGTGTCCCGTTTTTGACCGGAAAGTCCGGTTGAGAAGGGAACCTGGCAGTGTTCGGTCAGATGTACTGACCGGACACTAAAAGTCTGGTTAGTTAGGTAAGCCGGCAGTGGGGGTAGTGGCAGCCTGTTGCCCGGCCCTGAAGTGGCGGCTCCCGCGGCAGCACGTATGCACCAGCTCGGGCCGCAAGCGGCCCCTTTTGCCAAGATGCCTTTTTGGGCGGGGGGGGCAGCCCCAGGGTGGCGGCCCACCGGGTGACG